TTTTCTATGTGGTAAAGTTGTCAAACATTGTCAGACTGTTCCGCAGGGTGAACAGCCGAACCGCTTTATATCTTTTGGCCGCACGTCAACATCTTGGCTTAGGTCGGCGAGCATTGCAGCATCTCGACCTGAGGAAAGAGATCGATTGCCTAGTCAATAAAACCTCTTGCTGTTGCATGTCCACTAAGCAACAAACTACAAGACAAGAAGAAGGCGTCCTGATGCAGCAAGTAGTTTTGAAGCTGAGACGTTGCATGGATGCAGCCATGTGAAGAAGGCTCAGGGACAAACCATGTAGGAGAGCAGCTGGAAGCGATCTGTCATATTCGCCTCAACTGGCGCATCATCTCTCATCACGGGGCGGGCAGCTTGGGCGAAGACACAACTGTTGAGTTCGACGATATTGCAAACCTTTTGCAGGAAGCGACGATGACCAACAGTCACCCCAATAATAGTAGTGATAGTAGTAACAAAATATTACAAAACGACAACAAGTAAACAATATTCATAGTAGCACACATGATGTTTCTACATATCCACGGAGCGTGCCCCCCGGCCTCAAAGTTTGTTGCGCTTGCCCCCGGCCTCACAGGGGTTTCGGGTTGAGGTTTCAGGGTTTAGGGTTCAGGTTGCCCCTGCCCCATAATCTTTCCCTTCAGGTTTTGGGTTTAGCACGTTCGACTTCTCCCTCAGCAGGATTGGCAATTCTTTGCTTCGTGTCGGCACTTGTCGTGAATTAGAAACGGACGGTTTAAAAACATGCGAAAATCCTGTCCCACGACGCACCTCCAGGATCAGCTTCAGTGCCTCGTCATGACTCTCACGCGCTGCGAGGTCTGCCGGTGTTTCTCCGTCGACCATCTTGGCATTGAGGTTCACACCGGCCTAAGAAGCAGGGCCGGTGCTGCACATCCGGGGCGAGTCTGGAGATCCGAGGTCGCAGGCCTGGATGAGGACGCGCAGCGCCTCCACGCGGCCGTTGCCAGCGGCGGCGTGAGCGGGGGGTCCGTCCACCTTGTGGGTCCGGCTTCTCCAAGTCGGCCCCCACCTCGCTCAGCGGAAACCGCAAAGGGAGCCAGTTTTTGGTATTTGAGAAAAAGTCTCTCGGCGAGTCTTGTGTTTAACCCCTTAACAGCTTTATAGGAAGACTCTGCATAGCCGCAGCCATCGTCTTGGCCAGTACCTCTAGCGCCTCTGCTTTCTCCCTACGGCTGCCATGAGGGCCGGCGTGCAGCCCTCCGCGTTTATCGCACTCAAATCTACGCCTGCCTCACGTAATGTGGTCGTAAGTGCAAAGAGAGGGTTCTTGGCGGTTTCCCCTGAGTGAACGAGGCAGAAGCCGACCTACAGAACTCGAAAGACAGCCTGGAAATGACACCGGCCCACTTGGCCGCAAAAAACGGTGACGTGGACGCGCTGCAGGTCCTGATCCAGGTGGGAAGGCCCTTCCAGGCTGGAGGCACCATTTCTTTGATAACGGCTGCCGAGAATGGTGACGTGGCGGCCCTCGCGCAGCACCGCCAGGTCCGGTTGCTCTCGCAGTAGAAGGCGAGTGTTGCTTCTTTCGGGAGGGCCGTGCGGCCGTGCTGTGTTTGGAAGTTCCACATCGTGCAGTGGGGCAAAGTGAGAGGGCCAAGTATGGAAGTTCCCTGCCGAGGCTGGTTCCGATTTGAATGCCAAACTTGTGACGGCTATTGGACGGGATGGACCGCGGCGCACTATGCCGCGCATTACGGCCACGCAGCGGCGCTGAAGTTCCTTCACGAGGCGCCTTCTCTGAGCTGCTCCGCTTCCAGGTCCAACGCCTCGGCAGTCCCCTGCGAAAAAGCTTCTCCCACCTTCTCGGACTGCTTCGTAGGCCGGCGTGCAGCCCTCCGCGTTTATCGCACTCAAATCTGCGCCTGCCTCACGTACAGGGGACTGCGGAGGCGTTGGACCTCAGCTCAGAGAAGGCGCCTCGTGAAGGAACTTCAGCGCCGCCGCGTGGCCGTAATGCGCTGCATAGTGCGCCGCGGTCCATCCCGTCCAATAGCCGTCACCAAGTTTGGCATTCAAATCGGAACCAACCTCGGCAGGGAACTCCCATACTTGGCTCTCTCACTCTGCCCCACTGCACGATGTGGAACTTCCAAAACACAGCACGGCCGCACGGCCCGAAAGAAGCAACACTCACCTTTTACTGTGAGAGCAACCGGGCCTCGCGGTGCTGCGCGAGGGCCGCGGAGAATGGACCTTGAAGAGGAAAGGCGCAACAAGGCTGAAGAGAAGGTTGC